ATTTTGCCTACACAAGGTTCATCCATGTTATAGCATGTATAAGGATTTTGTTCTTTTTTATTGCTGAATAGTATTCACTTGTATGGATATACTACATTTTGTTTATCCTTTCACCAGTTGATGGATAATGTGGTGTTTGCACTTTTTGGCTGTTATGAATAATGCTGCTGTGAACATTCACATGCAAGCCCTTGTGTGGACGTGTTTTCGATTCTCTTCTCTATCTAAAGGGTGGAATTGCTGGGCCATATGGTTCCAGCTTATTTTATTTTGGTTAAATGCTAATAGTTCTCCCCTTTACTCTCAAAATTGTCTCAGTTGGTATAATAAATTATATCGTCACCCTAGTTATAGTAGCTTATCGACCAGAGGGTGTATCAATCCATGTAGTCCCACCTCCTGCCCCCAAAATGTTCATCTAAGCAGAACGAGCAATATTAATTATAAACATGATTTAGAAGCATGAGGAGTAACTCCAGTTCTTAGCTCAGGAAGCTTTCCAAATGTAGAGATATTTAAAAACTAAGTGAAAATTTAAAAAAACAAAAAACCCAGCAAGTGTTAAAGGATGGAGGGCAGGAAGGTAAGGAAAGGCTGGAATTGCACTGGGTGTCAAAAAAAGAAAAGGAAGGGAAAGCAACTAGAAGTCTAAGTTTGGTGCTTGAATATTTCTGTGCTCACACGTCTGTGAAATTCCCACATCAAAAAGGACAGGAAAGCAGCAACTGGTAATGGAGAACAGACAGGTACAAGTAAGTAAGCTGAATCCAAAATCTAGGATGAATTCAGTAAAAGTAGGTGATAGGGTTGAAAGTTCTGAACCTAAAAATTACTGCAAGTTTTCTATCCTGTTTCTGTACTTCCTTTGTGTGAGAACAGGCAAGAATTTAAAGATATATCTTCCTGGTATGTCCTTACTACTCTAGAGGCAGAGGCTAGGCCAGCTGTTCCCAAACTTTACTGTGTGCTAGAATCACATGGGGGCATTTGTTTAAAATGAAGATTCCTAGATTCCAAACCTTGAAGATTTTGTTTCAATCAGTGCAGTGTGTAATCTAGGAATCTGCATTTTAAGAAGTACCCCATATAATTCTGATGCAAGTGAGTCATGTTTGGCTTTGGGGGAAAAAAAATGGGCAAGGCCTTCCAGCAGATTCTTACAAATTAGTGTTTGCAACTTAAAAAGTATTAGAAACGAATTTTTTCTGACATTAGTACAAAATACCACCAGGTTACAGCATACCTTCAGTCATGTTGCCATTCAAACAAGACTTACCCTAAAGCCTTAGTGAACAGATGATAATTTCTTCCTTTATATCCTAAACTTACCAGTGTAGAGACCTCCTTGTCAAAATAGCTGTCCCTACTTGAATCTCAAAATAATTTAAAATAAGACCAGCCTAACTCGCTTATAAAATTTTAGATTTTATTGATATCATGAAGCCTAACTGAACATCATAAGAACTACAGCATGGATATCTTCTAGACTTGCTCCAAATGTTCATTCTGAACAAGGTGTTAATCCTGAAGTCCCTTCCTTTTTTTTTTTTTTCTTTTTTTTTTTTTGGAGACAGAGTCTCACTCCGTTGCTTGGGCTAGAGTGCCATGGCGTCAGCCTAGCTCACAGCAACCTCAAACTCCTGGGCTCAAGCAATCCTTCTGCCTCAACCTCCTGAGTAGCTGGGACTACAGGCATGCGCCACCATGCCCAGATAATTTTTTCTATATATTTTTAGTTGCCCAGCTAATTTCTTCCTATTTTTAGTAGAGATGGCGTCTTGCTCTTGCTCAGGCTGGTCTCGAACTCCTGACATCAAGCGATCCTCCCGCCTCAGCCTCCCAGAGTGCTAGGATTACAGGCATGAGCCACTGCACCCAGCCCCTTCCTTTCTTATTTTTGCAATCTTATGACACAAATGATGTCACTTGGATTCTCCCCTTCATATCTGATATCAACTGATGAAATGTACATCACTTTCCTAAGTACTCAGATTATCAGAAGGAATTTCAATTTAAGCAACCAGCTTAAACCCTCCACTGTATGATTTGAGTGTCCTTCCCAGGGACTGCAAACAACTGAGCAGATGGGATGAGGAGGCTATGCACAGCAAAGTCTTTTCTCCTCCGAGGAGAGCACACACCAGCCCTGGTGGTAGCTTCATAATAGTTTTTCCCATCAAGCAAAAGGAAGGGTCCTCTCCGAAAGAAAAATATAGCAGGGAAGCAGAAGGAAGCCCTTACTGAAGAGCCATGGTTTTTGGGGCTATGTTAACACAGAAGCCTTTTGTATGCCTCACTTAATCATGGGAAGTCTACTATTTCTACAAGTCCCTGTCATCTCTTGGTAAGTGAGATGTGAGATCAATAGTTGTTCTGTAATTCTTTGCCCATTTATAAAGCCTTCATTTTTTCAAATGGGGTGTGTGTGTGTGTGTGTGTGTCCCACATACTCAGAGAAAAGTGAAAGTTTTTAAGACAAAAAGGATGTGTTTGTTTTAATCTAATAGGAAATGCACCAATCCAAGAGAAAACGGGGGAATAAACATTAACTGGAGTAGCTTTGACTTCAGATCTTGACCTAAGTGAGGTGTCAAAAATAACCATGGACTGGGTATGGTGGCTCACGCCTATAATCCTAGCACTTTTAGGAGGCTGGGGTTGGGGGGTGGGGATCACTTGAGGCCAGGAGTTTGAAACCAGCCTAGGCAACATAGTGAGACCCTGTCTCTACAAAAAATTTTAAAAATTAGCCAGGCATGGTGGCACACACCTGTAGTCCTAGCTACTTGGGAGGCTGAGGCAGTAGGATCACTTGAGCCCAGGAGTTTGAGTCTGCAGTGAGCTATGATCATGCCTACACTCCAGCCTGGGCGACAGAGCAGACCCTGTCTCAAAAATTAATAAAAAAATAAAAACCATGCTCCCTCATGTATGATTGAAGCCATCTTAAATATATTTATAAGTCATAGTTCTCTCCATTAAGAAACTTAAAATCAAACAAAGAAAAGAAAAATGTTGATTATGGTTGAAACTGTAATAGGTAAATAGGAGTTTATTAGACTAGCCTTTCAACTTGTTTATGTCTAAAAATTCCAGTAATGTTTTTTCTTTACTTAAGTGAGATAAAGTATGAATTCAAATTAATTATCAGTGCAAGGCACTAAAGCTCAGAGAAGGGTGAGTAAACCCCAGGCTAATGTGGCCAGGGAAGATTTCATCAAAGATCATATTTGACTGGATAGGATTCTGAGAGGAGTTGGGAAGGAAATGCCAACATCAGAATTATGGATTAGGGGGATCATGATTAATGCCTCTGGCCCTAACATGGGAAGATAATGTTGTTCCCAAGTATAAACTCTAACCACTTTTCTCTGGTCTTTTTTGCCTCCACTATAGCCTCCTTCTCCCACTCCACCTCCGGGTAGGGAGTTGGGCTCCATGGAGGAGTCACACTTGACTCCACATTAATGAAACTAACAATTAGAACTTTCCAGCAATGCATTCATCTGGTCTTCCATGTCTACTGTCTTCCTGTCTGCTTGTTTTCTCTCCCAGAGCTTTCAATGTCTCCTATGCAAGAAACCCATTTCAAGGACTCTCTTTTCTTCTGCAATAAAATGCTCCAGTTGTGGCAGAAACCCCACAGGAGCAGCAGTCATGGAGTTAGGTAGGAAATGGCAATGTGAAAATGGTCTATCTGTCCACATGATGGCACTCCTACTTTGTAGTTTAAAGCTTAATAGGAATTTTTGCAATTTTGCAAAACACTGGATAGGCTTGGGGTTTTATGATTTATGTATAATGAATTATTGTTTCAAATTCTCCCACCTTTCGAACAAAATTTTTCCCCCTTTCTGATATTTTGGTCACAGTTTTGATATGTGGATGGTGTTATAGCCTAAGGGGACCCTCTAAGCAGCCGTGTGTGTGTGTGTGTGTGTGTGTGTGTGTGTGTGTGTGTGTGTGTGTGTCCGTGTGCACTCAAGCGTGGGGACTTGAGTGTCCCTCGCTGAACTGTTTGATGATGAAGTTGCAATGAGTGGACTCTCAAGGGTGCAGCTTATTTGAGGGTAATGACTAAAAAGTACTGGAGCCAGTCCTTCGTATGCCGTGTTAATGAATTTGAACTTAATCCTGAAAAATGTGGGTGGTCGATGAAAAATTTTAAGCAGGCTGGTGACTTGGTCAGAGAAGTGCTTCCCAAATTTCACTCATTCATGATTTTTGCCATATCACCAGTAGTTACTTAACGTTTTTAAACCAACTTTTATTCTTTTATAAATATATTTTATGAGGAAACTAATTACAAGCATTGCCTGTCATCATCAAATAGATGAATATTCAAAAGTATTCATTCAGGTACCAACTTAAAATCATCTCATGCTCTACTAGGTGTAAGTCGGCCACACGTGGGGAAACTCTACTGCATGGTATCAATGGGGTTGGTGGTGCCCCAGAAAGGCAAAAAAAATTGGGTTGGCGCCAGATTCTTGGCCGGATCTTAAATGATAGAGCCAAAGCCAGTTGTAGGCGTAGAGCAACCCAGACACAAGCCAGAAAGGTCGTTAAGTTTGCCTATGACTTGTAACGCCTACACCACCAGTCCTGAAACTTCATACTAACCGCCTCAGGATCTTGTAAAAACACGCAGCAAGGCGGATAGGTAGGACCCTGCAAAAGCCACCAGTCCCCTGGGAACCGGAAGTCGAGGACCTCCAGAGCTGTCGTCAGCCCAGAAAACTCCCGTGGAATCCCGGGAAAGGCGCTGTTTCATTGGACAGTCCAGATCGGAAGACTCCAAAGTGGCGGGGGGAGTTATGATGCGGACATAGATAGAAAAGTATTACAGGCTGGATGTTCGGGCCAAGAAAAGAGCTTAAAAAGCAATGTCCTGAATTGTCTTTTGTATATTTGCTTAGGAAATTATGCGTTTCCCTATTCTGCGCCTTAGCGAAATTCGATTGGCCCAACCTACCCCAAAGAGCAGTAGAGCGCGGTTGGTATAGAGAGTCCTCCTCCCGCGGGGCGTGGGAAAGTGTTCGCGGGGAACTCTGGGAAGCTCCTGTCCTCCGCCACCATCTTGCTTTCCTTTAATCCTGTAGTGACCACGGGTCAGAGCACTTTTGAACCATGAAGCTACTAACCAGAGCGGGGTCCTTCTCGGTGAGCAGAGCTTGGCGGGCTTGGGGAAGGGTTGTGGAGCAGTGTGTCACCAAGGTGAGACGAGCCGGAGCCTGGTTTGGGGTCCTGGGCCTCGGGCTTCGGTCTGCCCTTCAGCTGAACCCTGCAGGCCAAGTGGGCTGCAGCCTGAGTCAGGCAGTGGAGGCCCAGCTCGTGCTGTCAGCAGAAGAAACCAAACGCCGGAAAACCTGAAAGGAGGAAGGAGGACTTGAGAACAGAGTCCAAGCGGCGCCGTGAAGGCACTTCTGAAGGTCACACCTGCACTTAAGCTCCGGAGAACGAGACCGTGAGACTCGGGGAACGGGAGGCCGATGCACACCTAGCTCCCCACCCTTACCTAAGCTGCGGCCTCTGCTCCTTGGTTTATCACGGAGCATCCGTGTGTCTAACGAATAAAGCATAGGAAATGAGCTAATGCAGATATTACGCTTATCACAGTGCTCGAAACTTCACTGTTAATTATTACGGTGTCCTGGCAGTATAAGGTGTGCTTTTTTTGGTCTTTCGTTAGAGGGTTCCTCCGAGACGGACTGTCCTCAAAAGCTGCTTAATGAAGGATCCCCCTCCAAGCCCAAATTAAACAAAGCTGTTACTTGGGGAAAATTCTCCAAGTGTCATTGTCACTGTGGAGCAGTGGTTATCAAGAGGAGAAATGAGGGACACTTTTAAATGTCAGCGAGGGACGACAACCCCCCTCCCCCCCAGGGAACCGTTAGTAATGTCTGGAGACATTTTTGGTTGTATCAACTTGTGGAGAGGGTACTACTGGCATCTGGAGGCCAGGGGTGTTGCTAAACAACCTACAATGCACAAAAGCAGCCCCCTACAACAAAGAATTTCTAAGCCCAAAATGCCAGTGTTTGAGGAATCCTGCTAGAGGGATGTGCAAAAGACCATACCTGGGAATGGAATTTCGCTGTGTTTATGTTTAAATAGATGTACTGCGGATTATATAAATTTAGGCTGTAATTGTATCACCTTTCCTGGCATGTCTAGACAAACCAATGATTAGCAGCCCATTTAGAATAGCAAAAGACCTCAAAATTTCCTCCATTCCATTTTCCAATAGGAAAAAGAGGTCAAAGATAACAGTTGAAGAGGATCAAAGTAAACAAATTGAAGTACACTTGAAAGCAATTATTTGTTTCTAATTATAGCGCTTGCTTTTACATGAGAATAAACTTATACATATTGTTATTAAAACAATAATTTAGTAACTATGGCAATTACTAGGATAATTGCTGGTTCAAATGGGACAGATGAGACAACAAAGTATCAATGTTGAGGCACATTTGAGTTGAAAGCATCTAAATATCACTTGATGAAACTACAGATTATTCATATTTGAGCTGCTATGCCCATTTATTTTAAAATGTGCTTTTTGGAAAATCAAAGGCCAAAATCACAAGTAGGGTTAACTATACCATACCCAGCAAACTAAATTGATGATGATAAAGCAAAGCTAATTGTAATTCATAAATAAAAATACTAAGAACAAATGATAACCAGCAGCCAACTTAGTACAGCAGTGATGCTGAATGCACAACAAACAGCCTCTGGGCAGCACAGAGAAGGGGCATTCCCAGAGCCTCTGATGGGGGTCCCTGGGAAACTCCAGCAGCATTGGATCTTGGGAGCACCCAGTTTTATTTACTCAGCATCTCCACTAGTAACATCATGAGCCTTAATCATAATCAGAATGACTTTTATGCCATTGTGTATACAACATACATTTGCTAAAAAAGAGCTAAATAAAGTGCATTTTGGATCCATTATCTGACATTTAAGAGGACCCTTTTACACTACCAGTAGGTGCCTGTTATATATTGAGAATCTACTGTGGATGAAGCTACTGTTAATCTCAAGGTGATAAAAATTTTTATTTAGTCAAAGAAGGGTAAGACCTTGGTTGTGTTACCTCAGTGTAGCACACAAGAGAGTGAAGACCCAGTAGAAAATACTGGGGGTGCAGAAGAAGTTGTATACTTTGTCTTTTTTAAAGGTTGCTAAAATGATTAAGGAAATAAAGTCACTTCAATTGGAAAATAGACTAGAAAGGTGAGACTTGTTGGGCAAATATGGGAAGCAGTAGTGCTATAACAGTCTGACACTTTTTCAAAAAATGTGAAAGCATTAGAACTAGAACGAACCACTTGAAACTTTGATAAGATAATTGAAAGGTAAAAGAAAATACATTGATTTTTTTATGCAGTTAAAAAAAAAGAACATAGAGAATGCAGTATTCTCTAAAAATCACAAAGAAATAGATTTTAAGAATGACCTGGGTCAACTGGTGGGTTGTAAGTCCATATTGACTTACGCAGCTAAAGCCTTCCATGGACGTGGTGGTTGCTCTTTTTTACCCCTGAACACCCTCTGTCGCTTGGGTACACTAACATACAATGCTTTATACAAAGCACTGTTCTTGTGAGAAATGTGTGTAACCTGGTTTTTTTTGTGTTTAGAGATTTTATTCCCTCAAAGTTGCCCCCAAAGTTAAAGCCGCAGCTGCCCCTGCAGGAGCGCCTCCACATCCTCAGGACCTTGAGGTTAGTCCCACTGAGTTACTCCCTGACACCCATACATGCCTTACTCCCCTTGGTAATATAAAGACATTAATTATATCTCCACTTTATTTTAAATACAGTTCACCAAATTACCAAATGGTTTAGTGATTGCTTCTTTGGAAAACTATGCTCCTGTATCAAGAATTGGTTTGTTCATTAAAGCAGGCAGTAGATACGAGGACTCCAACAACTTAGGAACCTCTCATTTGCTGCGTCTTGCGTCCAGTTTGGTAAGTATCTTTACTACCTCAGTGTTTGGAAATGCTGTGATATCTTGGTACTAGGAAAAAGAAAAACCAAAAGCAATGTCTCTATATTCATTTCCTTGAGCTGCCATACAAAATTAACCACAAACCAGATGGTTTAAACAAAAAAAAAGAAATTATCCTGTCACAGTTCTAAAGGCTAGAAGTCAAAGTCAGGGTGTCTAAGTCAAGGTGTCAGCAGGGCCACGCTCCCTGCTGTAGAGAGGAATCCTCCTTTGCCTGTTTCTAGCTTCTGATGGTTGCCTGCAGTCCTTCCCTGGCTTACAGCTGCATCACTCCAGTGTCTGCCTCTGTTGTCACATGGCCTTCTGTCTGTGTCCAAATTTTCCTCTTATAAGGACACCAGTCATATTGGATGTAGGGCCCATGCTAATCCAGTATAATGTCATCTTAAATATTTGCAGGTTACATCTGCAAAGACCTTATTTTCAGATAAAGTCAGATTTTGGCTAGACATGAATGGGGTGGGGGTGCGGGGCAGAGGGACACTGTACAATTCTCTAATATAAAATGAGAAACCACAAGATATTTGCCACAGAAAAGCATTAAATTCGTGTCTGTATGATTGTTGGTGTTAGAACATAAGAAATCAGTAAAAAAAAAAAAAAAAAAGGTTTGAATACCAAAAATTGAAGGAAAATTGCTTGTTTTTTCCATATGCAAGTCTCTTTCAGAATAGACTAATGAATCCAGTAAGCTTGTATTTAACAGTGGAATTTTTACATAAATATGCTTTATATAAAAATCTATACTTAGGCTTTTTGTTGAGCCTTGTTTTATAATTCTTAACTAAAAAGGATACACTATTAAAGTTTCTTTTGAATCTGCTAATGAGAATTAGACAGTAGATTTTGATATAGTGTGATGTTTGGTAAGCTTGACATTGAAAAACTACTAAGAAAATCATTCTTTTCTTTTTCAAGACTACAAAAGGAGCTTCATCCTTCAAAATAACTCGTGGAATTGAAGCAGTTGGTGGTAAATTAAGGTTTGTTAAAGAAGTATTTAATAATGGGAAATAAATGGTGAAAATGCTAGAAAATACTCAATTATGAGGGAACTTTTCTCTGTTATCACGATGGTTGAGGATTTCTTAAATGGAGCACAGGCTAGGCACAGTGACTCATAACTGTAATCCAGCACTTTGAGAGGCCAAGGCAGGAGGATTGCTTGATCCCAGGAGTTCCAGACTAATCTGGGCAATATATTGAGACTCCAGTCTCTACAAAAAATTTTTTTTAAATTAGCTGGGTGTGATGGCACATGCCTGTAGTCCCAGCTACTTGAGAGGCTGAGGTGGGAGCATTGCTTGAGCTCAGGAGTTTGAGACCAGCCTGAACAAGAGCAAGACCCCATCTCTGCTAAAAGTAGAAAAATTAACCAGCTGTCATGGCATGTACCTGTAGTCCCAGCTACTTGGGAGGCTGAGGCAAAAGGATCCCTTGAGCCAGGAGTTTGAGGTTGCAGTGAGCTACAATGATGCCACTGTGCTCTACCCAGGGTGACAGAACAAGACTGTCTCAAAAAAAAAAAAAAAAAAGAAAAGAAAAAGGTAGTAATATTTTGAAAGGAATCTGGGCAGTAGGTCTCAACAGTGGGCTTAAAATATTAAATAAACAGTGCTATCATCCAGGCTTCGTTGTTCCATTTATAGAGTACAGGCAGAGTAGATTTAGCATAATTATTAAGGGCTCTAGGATTTTCAGAGTGGTAAGTGAACGTTAGCTTCAACTTGAAGTCAACAGCTGCATTAGCCCCTAACAAGAGAGCCTGTCCTTTGAAGCCAGGCATTGACTTCTTTCTAGCTATGAAAGTCCTAGATGACATCTTCCAGTATAATACTGTTTCATCTACATTTAAAATCTATTGTTTAGTGTAGCCACCTTCATTAGTGGTCTTAACTAGATCTTCTGGATAACTTGCTTTAGCTTCTACATCAGCACTTGCTGCTTTACCTTACACTTTAATATTAATGAGGCAGGCAGCTTCTCTCCTTAAACCTCATGAACCAACCTCTGCTAGCTTCAGACTTTTCTTCTGCAGCTTCCATACCTCTCTTAGCCTTCATAGACTTGAAGAGACTTAGGGCCTTGCTCTGGATCAGGCTTTAGCTTATGGGAACATGGTGGCTGGTTAGATCTTCTATCCAGACCTTGAAAACTTTCTCCATATCAGCAATGAGCCTATGACATTCTCTAGCAGAGTGTGTGGGGGGAGGGGGAGGGGTTGGAAATAAAGGCTATTTCACCTATTTGAGTGTTTATTGGAATAGTACTTTTAATTTCTAAGAACTGTTCCTTTGTATTAACAACTCGGGTAACTGCAAGAGGCCTACCTTTCAGCCTCTGTCGGCTTTTGACATGCCTTCCTCACTAACCTTAATCACTTCTAGCTTCTGATATAAAATGAGAGATGTGTGACTCTTCACTTGAACACTTAGAGGCCATTGTAGGGTTATTAATTGGCCTAATTTTAATATTGTTGTGTCTCGGAATAGGGAGGCCCAAGGAGAGGGGTAATAGCCAGGTGGTGGAGCAGTTGGAACACACACAACATTTATTAATTAAGTTTGCCATCTTTACATGGACATGGTTTGTGGCGGCCCGAAACAATTGCAATAATATCAAAGATATCATTCACAGATCACCATACCAGATGTAATGATAATGAAAAATTTGAAATATCATGAGAATTACCAAAATGTGACAGAGATACAAAGTGAGCACATACTGTTGGAAAAACGGCATCTATACACTTGCTCGACACAGGATTGCCACATATTTTCAATTTGTAAAAAACATAGTCTGGGTGCAGTTGCTAACACCTGTAATCGTAGCACTCTGGGAGGCCGAGGTGGGAGGATCTCTTGAGCTCAGGAGTTTGAGACCAGCCTGAGCAAGAGTAAGACCCCGTCTCTGCTAAAAATAGAAAAAATTACCCAGGCATGGTGGCGTGCACCTGTAGTCCCAGCTACTTGGAGGCTGAGGCAGGATGATCATTTGAGTCCAGGAGTTTGAGGTTGTGGTGAGCTATGATCACACCACTGCACGCTAGCCAGGGTGACAAAGTGAGACTCTGTCTTCAAAAAAAAAAGTGAAAAATATATCTTCGAAGCACAATAAAGTGAAGCACAGTAAAACAAGGTATCCCTGTATATAGCATGCAAAGAATTACTATTTGGAAAAAGAAAGAACTACAAATCAGGAAAGA